GGCAGCGGCGGGCACTGAGACGCCATCGGTCTGGGCCAGGGGTTTTGGAGAGCAGAGAGGCGAGGGGACGCGAGAGCTCCTGCCTCGGTCCTGCCGACCGCGCGGAGCCCGGCTCACCTCGCCGGAGAGGTTTCACGGCCACGCGGAGGGATGGGGCCATCAGAAAACTATCGCGATGCTGGTTTTCATCCACCTTGGCCCTGGCTCCTTCCAGCTTCCAGCAATGTCTGGACTTACCTCCCTTTTCCCTTAGGAGACGCACATCTTCACCAACGCGCGTGGTGCCCACCGGAGCGGCCTGAGCCTTCTCCGCCGGCGAGCTTCTCCTTCCCCAGTTCTTCCTGCCGTATCCTCAGAGGTGAAGCACAGACACGAGCAAAGAGCAGATTTATCCTTTAAAGAAATAGGAAGAGAGAAAAAAAAAATTCTTTTGGGGTTGAACCAAAAGGAAATCTATTTGTCACAGCAGGGCTTTTTTTTTAAATTGCTGAGAGACAATGAAAACATTGTGTTCGCCCCAAAATAAAACGTTTCTCCGTTTTCAAATGTGTGGCTGAAGGATCTTGCGGTCCCCCCGCTTTTCTAATTGAACGCAGGCAAGTTTCAAATGGAGAACGTCACACATTGCAATAAAAAGCTGAGGCGTTTAATTTCGAGCATATCTAACCGAAGCCTGCAGTTTTTCATCCCAAAAACATTCTTTTTTTTTCTTCCTCCTCTCCAGTTCAAACTTGAATCAAAGTTGTAAATAATTTTAAAAGGAACTGAAATAACTTTTTTATTCTCCCTACAAGCAAATGTTTCAGCGTAACAATTTGAGCCAGGCGAGCTGAAAGTGATTGGAGCCAGACTCTTCGCAGCGGTGCCCGGTAAAAGGACAAGATGTAGCAGGCAAAAACTGAAGGTGGTCAAACACTGGGACAGGTTGTCCAGAGAGATGATGGAGTCTCCAGGCTTGGAGATATTCAAAACCCAAGCAGACACGGTCCCGAGCAGCCTGCTCCAGCCGAGATCTCCAGCGGTCCAACCGTTCCACGTGTCTCCATGCGGAAGCCTCCAGGCCTTGCCACCTCCTCTGTGGAGGTTTTCTGGGACACGCGGCCCTGTTAAACCACCGGGAGCTGCAGCATCGCCAGCCCCGCCGCGTTCCTGCGAGCCGCACAGAGCTCCGTGGGCTTTTCGAGCCCCGGGTCCTGGGATGTTGCGATGGAGTGCTTGAAATAAAATGCAGAAGAAGAAGAAGAAGAAGAACCCAGCAGGCATTTAAAACCAGCCATTCTGCGAGCAGCTCATCTGGACAAGCCGGGTTTCTACAGACCTTGCGCCTGCAGGTTGGGTTCTCTGGTGTCTTGTAAGGTAGAAACTCCGAGGAGCTCTTCCCACAGTTGGGTATCCAAAGTATCCCATTCCCACGTGGATTCTCTGGAGTCTAGTAAGGAGGCTGTGCTCACGCTGGAGCATTTCACCCATTGGGGCACCTTATTCCTTTCCTGGCCGCTGCGTAAGAACTTGATAGCTCTGTGAGCTTGACCCTGCTGTCAGCTCGCGCTGGGACTGGTTGCCCAGGACAAAAGGCATTAGGGAAGACAGACAGGTGAACACACAAACTGTGTGGTCTTGCCCAGCTTGTCACTGCAGCCGTCACGGCTCAGCTGAGCTCCTACTGGCTCCATGTCAGGGCAGGCGCCACCATGAACTGGGCACCACCCGCTGAGTCCTCTCCATGGAGCAGGTTTAATAAAAAAGTGCCAGTGACTCACTTGGAAAATTGGGGACATACCTGAGTTTGTTTTCTTTCCATCCCTCCTAAAGAACAGTCTTCCACGGATGTTTCATATTTAGGTTCTTGGAGAGAGTTTGTGGCCATCTTCACCATAAGGACAACTAGTGAGGTAGGGGAGCAGAGGCATGGATGGAGAAACAGGAGATGTTTGAGTACGGACATCTCAGGCCCCTCTCATCCCCAGGTCCAAACCGCACCCCCTCTTTGGGATGCCCTGCCAGAACCAACTCTTGATGCTGTTGACGTTATAAAAAGGCATGTGAAATGCCTTAAGTTTCAGCAAGACTCCTAGAAAGCAGAGACACGTGTGCAGAGCAAAGGCAGGTGAGGAAGTGCGTGCACAAGCAATCCTGCTGCATGCACACCACAGTTCGGCACCACATTCAGGGCAGGTTCGAGTCTAGCTGCTAGTGGAGTCCCACTTTCCCAAGTTGCCCAAGAAGAGAGCAAGCTTGTCCCTGCCCTCCCAGTAGAGCTGTGCCTTTGGCCAGCAACAGAGCATTTTTGGTAGGTGCCTTTACCTTTATTTGCAAAAGCATCTCAGCCTAATTTCTGAGAGGTATCAGGGGCCAAAAGTACCATCTCTGCCTCCCCCTGGGAGAAGGTCACCGGGACACTTTCCAGCCTCGGTCCCAGCAATCTCCTTGTGCAAAGTGACCTCTAGAGCCCGTTTTGGGCATCTCCCATTTCAGCCAGCAGCGACAGATATTCCCCCAGGCTGCGCTGGACTCCCCGCCCTCCCGTGGCCAACGCTGAAACCTCCGCAGAAAACTCCGGGTTTCTCAGTGTTTGACTGCCATCAGCGTATGAAAACCAGCTGGACTGGCTGTAACAACGAGAACATCAGCACTTCTGAACAAGCCAATACTTAGATCACAGGTTCATGCGTGGAAGATCCAGAGCCCCTGGATTGCTGAAGATCTGCAGGACTGTGGGAAGGCCCCATCTGCACAAGCTCCTGCTGCCAAAAATGAGCATTGGATTCAGGGAAACGAAAGGAAGAAGCACACATGGCAGTTACAGGGGCTGTTCAGAAGCGACACACAGTCCTCCTCTTCCCCTCGTGCCCTCCCCGGCTCTGTACGGGACTCGCAGCCTGGGTCCTTGCGCCCCGAGGTTGCCCCGCGGCAGCAACTCTGCACCAGCTTGCTCTGCTCCAGTCTCCCGCTGGAAGCAGCCTTCCCACTGCTTCCAGCACTAACCAGATATGTTTGACACCAAAACTGGGGACCAGAGGAGAGGCCACAGGAGGCCTAGCCATGGTGCAGCTGGAAAGGTGTTACCTGCCTTTGGAGGAAGAGCCATGATGGTGAAGCACGGCCAAGCATGCACGCACACACGGGTGAGTCCCAACAGATGGAAAGAAGATGGGGTGTCCACAACATCATTTGCGCTGGCAAGCAGGGATGGATTTATGCAGCCTGAAGCCAGGTACGTGTCTCAGCTCAGTAGGATACAAGCCATACCTCAGTGCCCGAACAGAGTCGGGGAAGAAGCATGCTTGCTCCATGCCATGGGACCACAGCCAGTAGATGGCATTCGCCTGCTGCACATCAGGCTGTACCTGCCTTGGAAAACGTGGAGAAGAATGTTTCTCATAAAAATAAAGGAAAAAGGCAAATATCCACCTAAGTTGGAGATTACTTTGCTGGCTTTGATAAGTCACTTCTGAGCTGTCAAATGGTAAAGGCTTCCTGGCATCTCCTCCTTTGCTCATAGGTCTTCTGTCTGTCTTATGCTTTAAAGAAGGATAACGCATCCCCAAAGCATCCCTAAATATTGTGTGCATCCTGGACCACGTGGATGCACAAACAGTAAGCCACGTACCACAAATGACATCCACCCTCAGAAATCTAATCCAGCATCTGCCAGGCAGAGCTGAGCAGTCAATATACGCCACGGTCTCTGGCAGAGCAGTGCCCAGGCTGACCATATGCATGGCTAGGAGCTGCTGGTGCTTGGTCAGCACTGACGTGGATGGTGGTATCCTCAATATCTTGTCTCCTGGGAGCCACCAGTCCTAAGAGGACAATGGTGTCCACATGGAGCTAACGAACTGGATCAGGCTAACCAGCTGCATCAGTGGAGAGGCCCGGCACAGCAGAGGTCCCAGCACCATGCCATGGGTGCTTGAGATCCAGGACCAATCCAAGACTCCAATCCTTACTGCAACATAAAAAGCAAAGATGTATTAGGTTCTTCCACCGCACCCCATTCCTCTGTCTCCCCACCCTGCCCTGATTTCCAGGTCACCACAGCTGCTCTCGTGGCTGATTAGCCCCAAAATTTAAACACATCCTTAGCAGATGGTGACAGGAGATTCCCAGGGCAGCAGGCAAAAGTCTGCAGCCCCGCTCTATCTATTGATATAATAAAAGATATCGCTTCTCTGCAACCCTGGCCTCTCTCAGACCATCTCCGCTAAGACTCAACGACAAGTCATTGTGCTTCCTTGGCTGGGGGGTCACTGCTAAAGATGGAGCTACTTTCATCTTTGTACAACGCCAAGCATGTTATTTGCGCTCTGCGAACACAACGGGGATTTTTGACAGCACATATCAGCCTAACTCTGCCTCTAACACTTATCTCTGCTTGCAGCTGGATCAGATCTTCAGCCAGAGGTGGAAGGAAGGCTGTTTGCTGAAGTCCAGGAACCACAAGACAGAGACATGGATTCAACTCCGGAGCAGATGAAAATCACCGCAGCTTCAGTTGCTGTCCTGGATTGACACTAGTTAAGAAGCCAGCAGAGGTCTTAGGGGCTCTCAAGCTGCTATGAGCATCCTGGGAGCCCGTAACCAACAGCAGATTCCCCCGGCACCAGCGAGGACTGACAGCTGGATCTGTGTTTGCACAGCACCAAGCGCAACAGAGCTCAGTTGGCAGCAAGGCTGCAATATGGACAAGAGCAATCTCCCCACCACACGTACCAGCGCGCTTGTCGGCATGTACGTGAGCGTACAAACGTGCATTTTGCAAATAACAGACCCAGAAGTTCGGTACAGAATTTACCTGGAGGCCTGAGGAGTAGCCCAGAGCAGCAGAAACACAGGCAGGGTTTATTGTGGATGTCTGAAACAAGGCAGCTGGACCCCTCTCCCCTCCTGCTCCGACCAGCCAGGGCAATACACAGTGCGGGGAAGACTGCGCTGCTCCTCGCTCTCTCCTCTCCTCTCCTTCCTCAAGCCCTCAAATATATCCACAGGGATTTATATACTGCGACCTCAGAAAAATCCCAACTTTCGAACTGCAAAATGCAACTTCTCCCAGGTCCATTTCTCACCAGCTGTATCCGTATCCGCCTCCAGCCTGGCCTGCTGTCCAGGGCTTTCCACCCTCCCAGCACAGCCCCTAAGCAGGTCCCTAGACACCCAACTCACCTTCCAGGCGCCGGCAGCGAGACCAGCGCCTGCGGTTTAGGCACACACCAGCAGGGCTAGACAGGCCATTGAACTGGATATAGAAAACCTCCCTTGCATCCTACCACATGCCGAGGCCACCTTTTGCATTCAGCGACTGATGCTCAGCACTAAAAGCCCTCCCGCTCCCACCCGTCCCTCCCCAGCTGCCATGTCCCCTCCTGGCCCGGATCCCGTTGGACGAGCAGCATCCATCCCTGGGATCAGCCCAGCGCTGGGTGCGCTCAGCCCCAGCAGCATCATTCATCCCCAGGAAGAGCATCCGGATCCACTTGGTACCTCGCAGCCAATTGGAGGAGCGGCGGCAGCGGGGTGCGTTTGGCTCCCTTCTC